TAGCTGGATATGGTGGCACACAACTGTAGTCCCAGCTACTCAAGAGACTGAGGCTGGACAATCACTTGAGCCCAGGAGTTTGAGGCCAGCCAGAAGGGAGACTCATCTCTTAAAAAAAAAAAAAAAAAAAGTGAAAACAAGGTTAGAATCCATTTCTAACTTTCATCTCTGTGCCTTCTTAAAAACTGTTTAGTGCAAATTTAGGATAGAATTGTAGGATTCATTGGAGGAAATATACTCTTATGAGCTAAACAAGGACCCTACTTAAGAAGGAGATGGCAAACAGTGTAACTGAATTTTTTTTTTTTAAAAATGAGCCCTTTCACAACTTTTCATAAATCAAGGTTTTTAATAATGGCTCTCAGCGTGTGAAGTAATTTTGCTTAGTGTTTGGGAATGTTGAGTAAAAGTAACTGGGGAGCAGATACAATAAGAGTTTTATTAAAATAGTGTTTGTATAGGCTTCTCTACCTTGCAGATGCTTTGGTTTGGTTTTTGTTGTTTTGTTGTGGGGTTTTTTGAGGGGCAGGGTCTCACTGTGTCACCAAGGCGTGGAAACTGGTGGCACGATCATTGCTCACTGCCATCCTGGGCTCAAGCCATCCTCCCACCTCAACTTCCCAAAGTGCTGGGATTACAGGCATGAGCCACCACACCTGACCCATTTAGTTTTGTATTGTGTAGATTACCCATAAGTTCATTAGTAACCACACATAAATACGTACATTTCCACATGAATGTTTGAATTCTGCACTCTGTATTTACTTGGCTGATATTACTAGTCAAGGTATATGTTTTAATTAAGCATGTACTATTATTCTACAAAGGAAAAATTAAAATCGGCTCACTAAATAGCTGAGTTTTCTTTCCAGAAATAGACATTTGCTTCTGTTTATACCAGTTTACCTGCTTCCAAATTGCCTTTCCCAAAGGCAATTTAAAATTTATGCATTTTGAAATGGTTTTTACATAATTTAAATGGTAATAATCTTTGTCTTTCAGACCACAGCACAAGTGCTCAGAAAATACCATTCCAAGAGGGAATGACTTAATAACTTAGTAAATTTCCAAGTGAAGAGTAACATACCCCCACAGTGTACCACTTGGAAGATGCCTATGGAGAATTTGACTTTGAGACTCTCCCTGTGGCTGTATGTGTCATCCAGGACCAGAGGATTGTGGTTTCCTGCTCTGTATAGCTTAAGTTAGCCCAGTACTGATGGCTTCTGCCCTTGTTGCCATTGATATACTCAGTGTGCATACCTTTCTGAGCAGAGCAGTGTGTGTTGACCACAACATATATACTTCACACCCATGCAAGCACGCCAGGGTGTATATACAAGCACAGGCATGTGAACAAAACTGGCAGTACCCGTCCTTAGGATTGAAGCCCCACACCCAGGACTGCCTTCCCTCTGGATGAGGTCTCTGATTTTGTCTCTGCCTGTGTTTGGGGAAATCCCTACAGGTTTGGCATGACCCGTAGGTCCCCTGCCTCCATGGACCGGCAGAACACCCAGTCGGACCTCGGTGGCAGTGGGAAGTCCACCCCCAGCTGGCCAAGGAGTGAGGACAGCATTGCCGACCAGATGGGTGAGTGTTGACTTTCTGCCAGAAGCATTTGCTTTTATACAGCAAGGTCATTTTGGACACTTCTTGATGATGCCATCAAAGCATCATTGTAAAAGACAGCCCTAGTTAATAAATAAGAATTAGTAAGTCTCCATTAGAGTATGACTAAGTGAAAGCAATAAATAAGACCTGAGAAAGAGCATGGGAATTATTTTCAGCACCAAGGCTAGAAGACCAGATAACCAAACTTCATGTGTCTTAAGGACCTTCTTCCCATGTCTTTGCTCTTGCCTAGTAAAAGTGCCTTGAGAGATTCCTGGTGTACTTGGTGTTGAGCTTGAGATAAAACAACTATGTACAAAATGGGAAAGAGATACAATTATTGTCTAGTCACATCTATAGCTTGGTTAGAATCCCTTGCCTCCCCGATGTGCTTTTTAAAAATCCTTTCACTCTGCGATTAAGCTGTCAGCTCCGGAAATGTCTTCGCAGTGCTAACAGCTGGGTGGGAGTGATTTGCATAGTGAGCCTCACTTGGATTTCTGGGCCAGCCCTTCCTCTGTGCATGTATTGTTCCACAATGACACCATCACACGGTTGATACAACCAAATTGGCCTTGAAATGTGATTGAGTTTCCACCTAGCAGGATCAGGGATTTGCCCCAACACAGCTGATACCTCAGGAATCAAGGCTACAAGACTGGGCTTTTTCTCCTGCCTTTCGTCTCTGGTAGCATTACCATCAGTGTGGAATAAAAAGGTGCAAGTTTCAGGGCTGAGGAAGACATGCTTTAAGGCAAAACCCAGTTATTTTTATCTTCTCTGTAAATTCATTGATTTCATGCCTGTACCCAAGGCAGTGTACAAACCATGACCATGGAAGGGAGTGGACACGTGTCCTTAAGACAGGAGTTGAGAGTGAGAAGGGCGAGTCCTAGGTTCTGATGTGTGCCCCACCCCGGGACTCCTGCAGACGCGCCTCAACCAGAAGCCAGGTGTCATGCCCACCTGTGCTGCCCTCACAGCAGGCCTGAGCATCTTCTGACCCTCCCTTGCTCGTGACTTGGTGCTTTCATGTGTCTTGATCCTGCCGAGATGGAGGAACACATATGAGGACCCTCCTCAGGGGACTTCAGTGCCTGCTCCGGCCCCTCGTACGGCTCTGGGCAGGCTGCCAGCTCGCCCTGTGCCCCCTCCTGGAAGTCACATGGAGCGAGCGTGTGTCCTGGGAACAGAAGAGTGATGACCAGGCCGTCCCAAGCCTCGCATTCACTCTCACACAGCCTCCCTCCAGGCCTGCTTCTTGTGCCCCCTCGGGCAGCCTCCCACTCGTACCAGCTAAGGCTTGACGCTGAGGAGGGAGGACTTCTTCACCCCTGTTCACCCTCTGAGTAGGGTGCCCCTAGGGCGCACCAAAGAAGCCTTTCACCACAGCGCAGGAGGTCCAGGTGGGAGCCTTTCTTCACTCAATCCAAGCCTTCAAAAAAACTGCTAAAACGAGACAACTGCTAATGATTCGTATGTCCCAGCATTCCGGGAGAGTAGCCCAGCCTTTCCTCATTGGCTCATCAGACGGAACCGTAAGACTTGGGCTGATGCAAGAAAGGGAATCGTAGCCCTTTTGGTACAAACGCCCAGCGCTGAGTGTTGAAAAGGCCAGCCCCTCTACACTCACTGCTGGGGACAACATTCCCTGATGATCGTGCTGGTAGAGTCTGTGAGGGGAGGCTGGTACGAGGCTACCCGGCTGTGATCAGTGTGTCCCTGGTGGGGCCTGCTGGGTGCAGATAGGAGCAAGCTTGCTGGAGGGGCCCCTGTGTCCTCGTGATGTCTGCCTCTGCTTTTGGAAGGGGCTGAGAGTCAGCGTCAGGGCATGCGCCTGCCGCATCCACCCTAAGAGAGGTTTGCGTTGGCTGTGGCTTTGTCACAGAAGAATCCCTTGCCTTCCCTTTTGGAGACCCGTCCTGAACGCCGGCATGGAGTCCACCAAGAAGCAATTGTTTTGAGTAAACTAGTTGCTGTGTGTCTTTTCTGTTGTGCTCAGCTTACGGTTATAGAGGACCTCAGGATTTCAATTCTTTTGTCCTCGAGCAGCATGAATACACAGGTAAAATATTTCCAAAGTGTCATGGTAAGTAACACGTGATTGCATCCATGCCTGTCTAGGTGATACAGATCAAGCAAGGTGAGCCACACTTGGCAATGAATGAATTTCATAGTTTAATCCATAGAATCTAAGCGTCCCCCCAAACCAAAAGTTGGTTCTGAACTTCACTGCGTTGTTCATGGCCTTTGGTTTGTGGTCCTTGGCTCTGCTAATGTCTTGGTGCCAGCTTACCCATCAGCCACTTAGTTTCTGACCTGCTGTCTATCACGTGGACTGAGCACGCTCACTGCAGGAGTGCAGAACGTGCGGGTCCGTGGACTGAGACACAGCGGCCAACCATCGTCACCTGTCCCCACCGTCTGACCTGCTCGGTGCCTGCATAATGTCCTGTGCTGTATTCCAGAGCCCACATGCCACCTCCCAGCAGTGTCCAAGGTTCTGCCAGCTTTCCGAGAGAGCCCCAGTGGGAGATTAATGCGGCAGGATCCAGTGGTTCATTTGTCTCCAAACAGACAAGGGCATGTAAGTTGACTACACACTTATGCAAACATTGCGTTCCCAGCAACATGCCTTCCTTGCAGTGTGGAAATGGCATAATCCGTTCTGCTCTTTCCTCAGCATGGTCAAGGGGAAGCCACTCCGACAGAGGCGGGCACTTAGCATCATAGCCCAAAGCTGCTTCACAATGAGTTGTCATTCCTGACTGATATGCTTCTGGGCTCCACAGGTCTGGGTGGAAGGTCACCTGATTACATCACAAACACTCCTGCAAGTCAGGAGCAGGCATGTACTGGACACAGAGTTGGTCTGTGTGCACGGTAGCAGGCATGAACATCTGTTCAGGAATAGAGGCCTATACTCCCTCTGCTCCCCCTTGTCTTCCCTACTCACATCTTTTGTTTTTCTGGAGGTTTTTTTGTTTGTTTGTTTTTTCTTTTTTGAGTCCAGATCTCACTCTGCCACTCAGGGTAGATGGAGTGCAGTGGCGCGATCCTGGCTCACCGCTGTCTCAACCTCCTTGGCCCAGGTGATCCTTCTGCCTCAGCCTCCTGAAAAGCTGGGACTATAGGTGTACACCACCACGCCCAGCTAATTTTTTTCATTTTTTTCAGAAATGAGGTCTCAGCTATGTTGTCCAGGCTGATCTCAAACTCCTGTCCTGAACCAGTCCTCCCACTTTGGCCTCCCATAGTGTTGGGAGTATAGGTGTATAGGTGTGAGCCACCATGCCCGACACTTGTAACACACATATCCTTTGGCCATTGTGGTTGGTATACAATGCCTTTCTTGCCCTTACAGGTAGAATTGGGAATATGAGTTTATCATTCTCTAACTCCTTTCTTTTATGTATTTATTTTTACTCTCTGTCCTCCAGTACCTCTGTCAGGACAAGAGACTCCCTTTTATAATGCAGCTGATTTCCTTGGTCTGTGTATTCACAGAAGTGTATATTTTTATATCCATGTCATTCTCAGGGTGAGTAAATACTGTATTTTGTGCTAGTTTATAAGATGCTCAGAGATCTTTTCACAAGAATTCTCATGTAAGTTTGCTCTAGAGAAATGAATATTGGAGCTACAAATAAGAGGGAGCGAGCACACCCCACCATGTTTTGCTTGTCAGGGATAGATCACTGAGGAAATGTGGCATTGTCACAACTCTACTTGTAAATGATGGGATCCCAATCCATCTGTGAAGCTTTCCTCCCTCATTAATGGTTTTTCTATTGATTACATGGTAAAATAATATTTTGGACAGATTAGATTAGATAAAAACATATTAAAATTTAGCCAGTTTCATTTTGCTTTTTAAAATTTGGCTACTAGAAAATTTACGCTCACATTTGTGATTCACATGTCTGTATGGAACTCTGTTGTGAAATTCACATTCTCAGTACAACTCAACTCACACCAGTCACTTTAAAAGTGTTTGTGGCCTCATGTGGCCAGGGACACCCCATATGACAGCAGCAGTCCAGAGTTAAAGGAGCCCTGCCCAAGTAGGGACATAACAGAGACTCTGCTGCCCTTCACAAGTTGTCCGGAAGTGAGGGTCACAGCAGTACAGTGATGGGGACCAAGTCCTAAGGGGAAGACACATTTCACTTTGAGATGGGAACAGCATGTCCTCCTCCCACCCCACCTGTGGCTGGTGAAGAGCCTGTTCCTTCCTCCACCAACACACACATTCATACATGCATGTGCACACACATAGACACACACACACACATTTCCTTCTCTCATCTTTTCTCTTAATCTCCAGCAAGTACCCCTTCCTCTATTTTAAAATACTATTTTATTCAGATGTCTTTTACAATATTATTTGGTTAAACTCTGCAGAATGTTCTTTCTAAGCATCTAAGCCCCCATGGGGAAGAGTTCTGTACAGATTTTTTATTAAGATGTGATTCATATATCATGATATTCACCCATGTAAAGTGTACACCTTGGTGGTTTTCAGCACATTCCCCAAGTGGTGCAGCCAACATCATGATCTAACTATGGACATTCTCATCACCACAGCCCTGGTGACTGGCTGTCCCTCCACAGCCTAGACAACTGGTTACTCATCTTTGTTCTCTCTCTGGAGTTGCCTATTCCAGACATTTTATATAAATGAAATCACACACTGAATGGTCTCTTGTGTCTGGCTTCTTTCCCTGAACATGTTTCCAAAGTTCATGCATATTGTATCATGAATCAGTACTTCATTCTTTTTCATGGCTGAATAATCAATCTCTTACGTAGAAATACCCTATTTTTAAAATCCACTTATTAGCTAATGGACATCTGGGTTGTTTTTACTTTTTGACTGTCATAAATAGTTCTGCTGTTAACATTCATGTACATATGTTGGTGTGAGCACATGTTTTCATTTCTCTTGGGTCTGTACCAAGAGTGAATCTGCAATGGTTTTTCCCACAGCGAAAACCCCATTGTGTATCCCCAATAACACCAGTACCCATTATTGTCTTCCCTTTTTTATCCTACCCATCCTGGTGTGATGTGGCATCTCATGGTGCTTTTGATTTGCATGTCCCTAATGACTAATGATAACTGAACATCTTTTCATGTGCTTGTTGGATATTTATGTTTTCTTTGGAGAAATAGCTTTTGATCTTTTGCCCATTGTTTAATTGGGTTATTTGAAGTGCAAACGTTTCAAAGTCCAACTTATTTTCTTTTTTTTTTTTTCCTCTGCATTTGGTTCCATGTCTAAGAACCTATTTCATAATCAGTGGTCAGGGAGACTTAGACTTACTCTTACGTTTTCTTCTAAGGGTTTGTATTAGCTCTTACATGTAGATCTTTGATCCTTTTGGAGTTTTTCTTCGTGGTAAGGACCCAACTTTCTTCCTTTTTACATGTGGACATCCATTTGTCCCAGCACCACTTATTGATAAGACTGATGTTTTTCCCACTAAATTAACTGTATAAATTGCACTTCTGAGCATGCCTGGGGAGGCTGTCTCCTACATGGATGTCAGTTGGCCAAGGAAAAGGAGACTCCTTAGGAGTAAGTGCTATGCTCATGCTTCTGTTTATTCTGGGCAAGACGGGCTTTTAGAAACAAGCACGGTTTCTAATTATCAGCCCTTTGGAACTGTAATTTCTATTTTAAGATATTAAAGACTTTAATGATTATTTAGATTTTTCCCAGCTACAGGTGATCTTGATACTACTAATACTTTTGCATAAGTCAAATACTTAAACAGATGTAAAACAAACACACATTCTCAGTGCTCTGCCTTGGACACTTCCTAAGGGCAGGACCAGAGGTGTTGGGTCCTCCCTCCCTTACTGGGCTTGTGTTACTGGAACTTTGTCCGTGGTAACCCCCACCTAGATATCCGTCCTCTGCTTCCCTGCTGTCCCACATGGAAGAGGCAGAGCCTTGCACCCAGGTGTCTTCCCTTGCAGTCCGACAGCCACTATTCGAGCCACTCCAGCAGCAACACCCTGTCCAGCAACGCCTCCAGCGCCCATAGCGATGAGAAGTGGTTCGATGCAGACCGCACAGAGGCCGAGCTCAACAGCTACAGCTATCTGCAGGGCACATCGGCTGACAGTGGCATTGACACCACATCCTATGGCCCCAGCCACGGCAGTACTGCCTCGCTGGGGGCCACTACGTCATCACCCCGCGCGGGGCCGGGCAAGGAGAAGGTGGCGCCACCCTGGCACAGCTCCAGCGATGCCATCTCCATGGCGGATCGGCCCCTGGACACGGAGGGCCATGGCATGGAGCGAAAGGCAGAGTCCTCCCTGAGCCTGGACCTCCACAGCAAGGGACCTGGTGGCTCAAGCCCGCTGGCCAGGGAGAACAGCACGTTCAGCATCGGCGACGTAGCCTCCCACACCAGGTATGCGGCCTGCCCTGAATCCATGCATGGCTCACCCTCACCCCCGTGGGCTCTGCCCTGCCCCCACACTGGTCCCACCCCACCCCTGCTGGTGTGTGAGGAGCAGGCTTATGGTGGGGGCAGGTGTTTTTGTATGTGATGCCTTTTCTTGGCATGCAAGATACTTGAGTTCTACAATTTTAATACATAATTTTAAACTGAAACAATATTTGCAGATTTATTCTTTTTAAAGTTGTATTTTATATTTTCCTCTTTTTTACTTTTCTTAACTGCATTCCACGGTTAGAAATTTTGTAAGCCTGTAATGTTGACTTTCAGCTAGTGACAGAGAATAGGTGCTGGAACAGTCTTCTAAAGATACACTTAAAATCTCGGCCACATCTTCAAAGAAAGGGGCCTCCTGAGCCCACATTGCCCTGCAGCTGCTGCATGTCTTCCACCACTTCTGTCTTGGATGTCATGCCGGTGTCTGCAGGGTGATGTGTCTTCAGTGGTAGGTCTGGGTCCTGGTGGTGTGTTGGAGTGGGTTGTGTCCAGCAGACACATGTAGGCAGAGTTAGACGCCTTTCAGAAGAGGAATGAGCATATTCTCCTGCATCTTTGGCCATCGTGCCCTAGAAAGAACAAATGTAGTCTTTTATTGCCTCTTTCACACTCGAGCCTGAATCCCAAGCATGATGAGAGTCTTCCTCTCTGGAGGAAGGGTCCATCTCTGTCTTTTTGGGCTGCTGGTCTCTGTGCTGCATTCTCCTTTCACTTGTCATTGTCATCAGCATTGACTCACTTGTGTGACAGCATTTAGCATTGCTGCCCTCCAGGTCTATTGTTACTATTATGGCCTAAGGAAAAACAGCAGAAGTGCTTAATTTAGTTTTTGTTTGTTAAATGGGGATCCAGGTACATAATGCATCAGTAGAGCCCATAACCTGAGTGAGGGGGAATGTCCCCTGCTTATTGTGGGTCCGCTTGACTTTGTCAACAACATCCCCAACTTCCTTCTCATCCTCGTGCCTGTGTTCTAATAGAGACAATCACTGAGCTGCCCTTCTGTTCGAATGTCAGGCCCTATGGCATGGAATGTTCCACAAGCTTTGTTCTGTTTACCACTGATGACCACATTGTAGGTTTAAAGATGATAGAGATAGTCTGGAAACTCCATGGTCCCCAAGCAGAAATAAGTGGAGAAGGTCATCTCAGTGTCTTTCAATGCCAGGCATCCCACCACCACTCCACGACTCAGAAGGTAGAGTGTTGGGTTCAGCTAGAGCAAAAACTGTGTCTAGAAAAGTAAGGCAGACAGCAGGCATCATGTGCCATAATGACAGAGACACAGAACCACGTGATGCAGAATGGCGAGTCACCTGCTGTTGTGGGCACACCTCCTCTCAGTTGACTGCAGTGACTTAGAACATTTTTCAGATCAGAGCAGTTCCTTTGTGTTTTCTAGGTTTAGTTGGACTCGTGTTTCTCTGATTCTGATTCTTCATTTTGAAAGGAGATCACCTTTTTAGGAGTGATACTCCGTTTTGGTTTAATGTGATGGCAAGAGAAAGATGGTTAGAGAGGTCTTGTCTCCCATGGCATCACCATGAATGGAGGTGGCCAGCGGGCCCTGAGACCACAGCATAGAACGTGCAGCCTGCCACCAGCTAGCAGATCCCAGGTCTGCTAGCTGGTGACAGGCTGCACAAGTTCCCGGAAAGCAGGTGCCTATGTTGGCATTATCCAAACATGCCAACTGCAGTGACCACGAGGCCACAGGGTCATCTAGACATTCTGCGTCAGACCAGAAGAGCACAGAGTCAGAGAAGCCATCACTTAAAGGGAGCTCCCCTACTGAGAGGCACTCTTCCTGGTGAAGGGAAAAATGTGGCCCTGCAGGAAGGTGGTGGGCATCACATGAGTCACCCTTGTTTCTGGCTTTTCTGTGCAGGGTGCTGTGGGATCGGGCTGCTGATCATGGCAGCAGGCGTCAGGTAATCAGAGCCTTGGCAACCCGCCTTTTCTGGAGGAGAGGGAACTTAGCCACCAAATGCATGTTGCTGGAGAAACTAAAATCGCAGCAAATTAGAGTGTCTGTGTCCTCAGAAGACAGGAACAGTAATTAGCGTGGAGCTCTCTTGACAGTTCTTCAAGAGCCTGTACCTGGGACTCGGTGGCAAAGTCTAAATTACAGTGATTAAGTTTCCTGCGTCTTCCTGGAGGGCCGCTCCTGCCCCTGTCCTCCAGCTTCCCTGGGATGATCATGCAGGCTTTGGCACCACATTGGCTGCATTAATAGAGGTTGGTAATTACACAGGGTGGTTATGCTTGAATGTCAGCAAGAGAAGCTGTGAGCACTGATGACTTTCTGCAATTAAGAAAAGTCTATTCGTTGCTCTCAAGTGTTGCTCCCCAGAATATGTATGTATATTTTTGAGGCTTGGAAATTTACAGAGAGATTTTACTTTATTTATTATGGCTATTTAACTTTCAGATCTTAAAATGAACCACTAAAAAAAAAAGAAAAGAGGTGAAGATAGTTCTGGCCTTAAGACAGTCGTGGCATGGACTCACTTTTCTTAAGCATTCCAACCTTGGCAGTCGGCAGTGCTAATGTATGTGGCAGGCTGGTGCGAAGTGCTGGTCCTGCCAGCCAGTGGGGTTTCTGGAGCTTGATTCGAGTCCACTCACGCTGAGGTAGCAAACCCACCTCGTGCGCATGTGTGCTATGCTGGCCAGCCTTGTGAACCAGGTATCCTGCCATCACCAAACGTGCTCCCTCCTGCTTGCCCTGCATCATAGGCGGCTAGCACCCACCTGTATAATCCCAGATGCAGTTGTGCTGCCATCTGGGACGAAAGGATTTCTCACTGATGTGTGCCTCCCAAGTGTGTCTTCATGGGTGTGCCACCGTGAACACGTACAGAGGTGTCCATTGCATCCTATTGAGCAGACAGGAAGAATCAACCAGGTATGGTGGTGTGCCTGTAGCCTCAACTTCTGGGAGGCTGAGGCAGAGGATTGCTTGAGTCCAGGAGTTCAAGACAAGTCTGGGCTGCATAGTGAGGCCCAGGCTCTACCAAAAAAAATTTATAAGTTAGCTGGGTATGGTGGTGCGTGCCTGTAGACCAACTCCTCAGGAGACTAAGGTGGAGGGATCACCTGAGCCCAGAAGCTCAAGGCTGCGGTAAGCCTTGACCATGCACTGTATTCCAGCCTGGGTGACAGAGTAAGACCCCGACTCAAAAATAAAAAGAAGGAATAAGAAATAACTAACGTCCTTAACTTCCTTAATGTTTCTATTTTCTGTCTGATGACTCACAGCTCCTGCTAATAAACCCATTCAGAAGTCAAAGCTCCTGCCTCCTCTAGAACACCCTTGTGCATTTCAGCGGTCATGGGACAGCCGTGTGAGTGTTTGCACCGGGCTGTAGGGCTTTCCGTAGAGGAGCAGGGACAAGTGTGGATGAACATAGTGTCCTTGTCCAGCTGTTCAGTGTGTGTGCTTAGTGAAGTCATTGCTGTGTTCAGGTCTTTAACATCTGCGGCGACAGGAAGAACTTTATACCCACTTACATGCAAATGTCAACAGACTTTGGATGTGTACTGGTCAGCTTGCAGCATTCACTAGAGATGCTGTTCGAAGGCCAAGGAAAGCCCCCACCACAGGACAGTGCAGTTCGGGCTCACAGATATGCCTTTCCTGCTGACCTGAGGTCGTTGTCCCTGCCAGGAGAGCTACATGTTCTCGAAACTGGAGCAAAGGTTTCTCATGTGAGGCTTACATGACACACTGAGGATGCTGTGGCTCCAGTATGCTGGGCCATCTACGTGTGCACCCGGACTATCCTCGTGGGTCTCTGGGCCGTGTACATGTGCCTCCGCTTGCCAGGGCTGGTGTGTGTCCATCCTGTCATCTGTGTCCTTGGCATCCTGTGCATATGGAGAACATGTTGCCTTCTTTGTTAGATCCAGTTAATCAGTTGTCTTCATCTGTAATGTTTCCCTCTAGATCTTTTCTGCCTGGGTGTTATGGACCAACTCAAAATTTGAAAATTCAACCACTAAAATAACAAAACCGAAGCTTCCTTTAAAAGGTGTGACTGACTCCATGTTCTGTTGAGTGTGTGTGGTTCTCATTGGTGATTTTTACACAGTGGCCTCTCACACAGTGAGCCTCCGGGATTACGGGTGTTGTTGTTGTTGTTGTTGTTGTTGTTGTTGTTGTTGTTGTGTCAGAGTCTCACTCTGTCACCCGGGTTGGAGTGCAGTGGCACAATCATAGCTCAGTGCAGCCTCGACCTCCAGGGTTCAGGTTATCCTGTTACCTTAGCCTCCTGAGTATCTGGGACTACAGGCACCACGCTCAGCTGTTTTGTCTTTTTGTAGAGATGAGGACTCACCATGTTTCCCAGGCTAGTCTCAAACTACTGGGCTCAAGCATTCCTCGTGCATTAGCCTTCCAATGTGCTGGGATTACAGGTGTGTGCCCAGCTAACTTTTTGGTATTTTGTAGAGACAGGAACTTGCTCTGTTGTCTATTTTCTGTTTTGCTTGTTTATGGCAGAACTCCAGGTGATCTGGCCTGTGTGAGTTGGCCTCCTTCCTTTCAGCTTGTAGGGGCAGGTGACTAATTTATCTAGAACTTCAGTGACTTTTAGTAACCGTAGAGACTGAAAAATAGTACCACTATGGCTGGAATTTCAAATGAACCTTGAGAAAATTAGGCCTCTGTCAAGCCTCACGTGCGCTTCATGGAGATTACCAACAGCAGTGGTCATTACTTAGTTCTGCAAAACATTGCTGGATGTGGTGGGCTGCATTCTCCAGATGCCCTCACATCGCAAGGCCAGAAAGAATACAGGAAGGGCAGTCATTCTCTGTCACATTTCTAAAGCCTCCTCCCAGGGTGAGAGTTTGTGAAATTGCTTTATTAAAAAAAAAAAAGAAAGAAAGAAAAAAATAATCTTGAGGAGAGAGTCCACAACCTTCCTGAGTAATTTCAGTATACAGCATGT